ATCAGATAACTAGGGTTTCAAATCAGACCATGAAGAGACCAAAGAACCCACTCTAATTGCGGACCAAAAAAGAGTGAGCAAGGGAAACTTACCAAAGGAACATTTCCCTTTGCACTTTCTTTTGCTGTGTCCCCAACTATAGCAGGCTTAGGAAGGGGCCCATAAAAATCTGCTCCCCACTCTGGGCTGCTGCCCTTGTGCACACAGGTAGTGCATTCTGAGAGTTTTAATCCCATGAAGCAAAACCAGGTCCCTGCTGCAGACCCCAGGCCCCTTTTCTACGTGGCTGTCATTCACAGTTTGGCTCAAATGACTTTAAGAGTACTGGTTATGTTAAAAATGTCTGTGCCACTAATTACAAGAAAACTAGGTAATATGGCATTTGGATCTATATGAATCTCAGAGGAAGAAGGACCTATATTTATGAGAAAGAAGCACAAAAATCTTAATTACACTAAGATTTTAAATAACTATGCCTATTCAAATAGAGTGTAATACTTGATAAGGGTTAGGAATCAGCTTTTGTGCTTTGAAGTATCCATATACCTCAGGAAGGATCTAGCAAAGGTATAAAATATACTGAAAACTCCACTGTAATTAGCTAGCTACAGACATCTGTGGATGAACACTGGCACTTTTACATCTTCGTTTCCAGCCTGGAAATACAGAAGAAGGCTGCTATAATCTAAAAGCTGAGAGCAGAGACACAAGAGCTCAAGAGAGAAATGATCAAGAAACAAAGACTTAACAAGTGAGCTGCCAAACTCAAGATTCCATTGAAAGTACAACACAAAGGTAATAATATTCTCACTGTAGAAAACAAGACTAGGAAGAGAGGCCCTAGAAAAACTAAGCAGAATGAGATGGGTAAGGGAGAGTTTAAAATGTTAGAGAAAAGTATGAAAGATGTGTAAAAGGAGTCCAAGAAATGCACATTTATCCTAAAACAAAGAAGACAGAGAACATTTCAAATTTATTGTTGAAGAAAACTTTTCTGAAATAAAGCAAGATGCCAAGTCACTGTGCAAAGGGTATACCGTGTGCCACGGAAAAGTGGAGAAAAATTGATCAGTATCAAGACATAGCACATGGACTTGATAACTTAAAAATATCTTTGACATCTCGACCAAAACAATGTTGCATTGTGTCAGATAGGATGGGCTAGGTTATGCTGTGGCAACAAATATTCCCCAAATCTCACTGGGTTAAAAACAATAAAAGTTTATTTCTTACTCATGCTACACGTCCAATGTGGGTGAGCTATGGGGGCTTTGCCCCTTGTAGTCACCCAGGCTGATGGTGCAGGCACCATCTAGAATTTGTCAATTACTGTGCCAGAGGGAAAAAGCTGTGGAGTATCTCACCTCATAAGTAAACACCCAGGCTTGGAAGTGATACCTACAAGTTTTGCTCACATGGCCCTAAGCCACCGCTAGGGGACTAGGATGTACAATCTTACATGAGGGGAAGTTGGAGAGCTAGAAATACTTTTAAACAGCATTAACGATCACCATATACTAAAGTGAAAGAAAGCATTAGGCTGACTTTAAGATCTTTCCTATAGCAATAGTCAGTGTCAAGAGAGAATGGCATATCATCCATAAACCTCTAAGGGAAAAAAAAATGTGCTCCTCAAGAATTCTGTACTGGGAGGTGGAGAGGATCATTGTGCATAATGATTCCAGGTTCTGCTTTGGATACAGAAAGCTAGAAAGCTAGAAAAGAGTACTGCCCCCACCATTACAACAAGAAGATGCTGGACACTGCAAATTCACAGCTTAAGTTAAGCCCATCAGATAGCTGAGGTTACAAGGCAGCCAACTAACCCATACTCTAAGGAAAGACAGATGTGAGCTCCTGCTTATCTGGGGCAGATGCAATCAGACACCAGCTCTAGTGGAAAACGTGGGCAGTATGCATGATCATACAGGTAATTTGGCAGAGAGATGGAAGCTATATGGAAGAACCAAATGGAAATGGTAGAGATAAAAAGCACAGTCACAGAAATGAATCATGTCTTTGGCAGCGTCCTCAGTGGACTTGGTAAAGCTGAGGAAAAAAATGACAAAGTGGGATTTATCTTGGGAATGCAAGCCTGGTTCACCATGCAATAGTCAATCCATGTTATTCACCATATTAGCAGTCTATAAAGAAACTGTGTATCAACATCTAAGTAGATGCTGAAAAAAACGACTTACCCAACATGCATCCATGATAAAAACTCCCAGGAAACTAGGAACTTAATAATGGGCATCTATGAAAAACTTAGAGCTAATGTTATATTTATTCCCTAAAATCAGGAGCAAGACAAGGACATAGGCGCTCAGCACTACCGTGTGGCACTGAGCTGGAGGTTTGAGCCAGCGCAGGAAGGTGAGGGAAAGAAAGGAGAGCCATACGGGTTGGAAAGGAAGATGTAAAACTGTCTCTTTCTCTACAAATCACGTGACTGCCTACACAGAAAATCCGAAAGTATCTATAAAAGAGCTACTAGAAGTTATTTTTAGCAAGATCACAGTATACAAGATCCGTAACAAAAATCAAATTTCTATATACTAGCGATGAACAAGAGATAATTTAAAAACATTTAAGTACCATCAAAATAGGATCAATACATATGAAATACTCTAAGCATAAATATTATAAAATATGTTAAGATCTATATACTAAATACTATACAACACTAATGAGAGAAAAGAAACAATGATGAAATTTAAAAAGACCTAGATAAATGGAGAACTATACCATGAGCGTGTCCATTCTCTCCCAATTGAGATACAGATTCAATGCACTCTCAGTCAAAATCCTAGCAGTATTTCTATAGAAATTGATCAAAATCCCAGTAGGATTTCTATAATTGATAAACCGATTCCAAAATTTATATAGAAATGCAAAGGAACTAGGGTAGCCAAAACAATTTTGAAAAACCAATGAAGTTGGAGGACAACAGTAAACAGACTCACTTCCAACAGTCTCCCATTCTCTTGATCTCAGATGCAACTCAGCTCCCGCCACGACTCAGGCCATTGCTCCCTACAGGACCTCAGTTGGGGGGCAAGGGCAGGCTGCTCACTGCCGCCACTTCCAGACTATGGCCTCCTACTTCAGTCATAAATCCTGCCTCCTCTAGCCTCATGCCACCAGCTCTGACAGCACCTCTACTTACTTTTTTGTTACAAATTCATTAAGAAGTTTGCGGTAGTTTTTTTTCTGCCTCATGTTCTCACCATTGTCCTGGGCAGTTTGAACATCCACAGTGATGAGCCATTAAGAGAGGCTCTCCAGCCTTGCCTTGAACTTCGTAGGTTTCTCTCACTGTATCATAGCTACCCCACCATCAGGGCGCTGGCACAGGGATGAAGGTGGGACTGCAGGCTCACCCACTCAAGCTTGGCACAGCCTGGCTGCGTTCTTAGAGGGGGCACTGTTGTTCCAATGCCATCACCACCTCTTAAGCTACTGTACCTCCTCAGGGACTAGAGGTTCAAGAAAACAGGTGTGAGGAGGGTCCCACTGAGTGCAGGTGTCAAGAAGAACTCCAAAGCCTTGGGAGAGCAGGCCAAATACCCCCAACCCATCAAGTGAGGAGTGAGAGGTGACTTAGCTGCTTGGCTGCACCGGAGCACACTCCAGTGGCCTCCCGAGCTTTGAGATTCCCCTGGGGATTTGCCAGCCTTTCCATGGGGCAGTGATTGCATGGTAATTATAATTACCTATTTCCTTGTTATGTTTTTTTAAATATGGGAAGAAAAAGTGGCCAGGGTGGGGAGGTGACTTAGGAGTTGCCTGATCTCAGAGTGAGTGCTGGCTGCCCATGTCCCCTCCCAGAAGGACAGTGAAAGGCCACAGCAGGCCTCAGGCGCCAACCCCAAGTAGGTCCCTGGACAGAGTAAGAGGGAAACTGCAGCTGTATGCAATGTGGGACAGGAAGGAGCACCTTGCACGGAAGAGGATGGGGCGTGAGTGCCACAGCTGGGTGCCTTTGAGCCTGCTGGCTCTGTCATTGCAGTGGGCTGCTGGGCCCACTGAACTGGGCCTGCTCCTCTCTGTGGAAGAAGGCAGGCACAGGGGAGCTGGGCCCACTCTCACCACGTACTTGAGGTGAATCCTCTGTCTCTGTACATCACTAATTGTTTACAAACTGGTTTCATGGTGCACGGGAGTTCCTGGGAAGCCACCCAGACCAAGTGATCGTTCTTGCCAGCATGTAAAATGACACCCATGCGGGACTGTCACAGGCACCCAGTTCCAGAGGGCAGCACCTGCCTCCTGCTCTCCAGATGCCAGTGTGGTTCTCTGGACTCCCCAGTTCCCCACAATGTTCCCTATGCACATGCGACAGAGCTTCTGACACACTGTACGTACAATTTACCACCAACCAACGGTTCCTTTGACCATGGCCACATCTTTTTAAAAAAATTTTCGCACATTTCCATTCAGGGGAAAAGAGAGGAGAAGAATTGGGTTTCATTTTTAAGCAATTTGGGATTTCAGGAGTCAAAAAACACTTGCAGGAGGAAAAAGAAAAGGGTTAATATAAAAATGACAATTTTCCATGTCATTTTTTAAAAAAATCAGTTGCTGTAGACAAGAAGAGATTGCCATAGGAAACTGTAAAATCTTTCTCCAAATATCTTTAAAGAGGCAAAATAAATTCCCATCTGTTCCCTGATGGTGTAACAGCAGAAATGTTAGAAAAGCAGTAGACTACATCACACCCACATTTGCAAAGACCTCTTTCACCCATTCATATCCTCCTGCACATGTGTCAGAGGGAAAAAGTGAAATGGCAATAATAGAAAATGAGATCCAGAAAGCAACACCTTGAAAGTGAAAATCTATAATCCTTTAAAACGTCCTCCAAAAAGATATTCCCTCTTGCATTTAACCTACCTAGATGAATCAAGAACTGAAAGGAGTAGATGCATAAAAAATACCTTCCTAACACGTCTATACTGCATGGGATGAAATGCATGAACACACAGGCCCGCGGCCGTCACCTTCAAGGTCAGCCTCACGGCGTTGCAGTCCTCCCGCAGCGGGTTCAGCTTCAGCGTCTCCCCGAGGTTGCTGCAGCCGGACGACTGGTGCTGCATTTCACAGCAGACACACACCTCGACACTGTCAAACTTAATCTAGACAGAGGAACACAGACAGATCTCACAATTAAAACGGCATTCGTCCCGGGTGGGTATGCATGAGCTGCACAATTAAGAACATTTGAAAATGCTTCCATTTAAAGCCTCCCGTTTTAGTTCCCTTTAAGCATAAAGTCAAAATTATTTTTATTGGCAGAAGCCATGCAAAACACCATTAAGGAGTGACTTCAAATTGCTCTTCTAAAAGCAATTAATTAAAAAGAAAAAATAAATAAGTTCGGAGAAACCTAAACTATAAAATTACAGGAAAATTACAGAAAGAGATAAAAGTAAGTAAGCAGAAAATTACTCATTTTGAGTTATGCACAGAGATATGTTATAGCTCTGATGCATTCCTTGGCTCATTCCATTCTAACAGTCAGCAATTTCCTGTCTCACTTCATGGTCTATCAAACTCCTACTCATCCATCAAAACCCAACTCCAGCTCTGTCCTTGAGGCTTTGTGTGGTTTTCACTTTCCAGAGCTGCTCGCATCTCTGCTGGCAGAACACACAGGCAGGCCCCACCTCCGCTGAAGACTTTTTTCGTGTAGCTGCACCTGTTTGCATCCCGTGTGCTCCCTGAGGGCGGCCACCCCCTCTCACCATCTCAGTCTTCACAATGCCAATGAGTTGTAGGCATTCCATAAATGCCGAATAAACAAAAATGCCTTGGAAAATTAGAACCATGGGAAGAATAAATGCAATTCAAATATTTTTAAAGGCCTGGAGCCCAGGAGGAGACCCACGAAGCACACCTGACCCCAACCTGCAGCCTGAAGGGGCATCTGCTCAGCCAGACTGAAGAAATGAGAAATCAGGGCTTTCTGAAACATCCCTACCACCCCAGCCTCACTTACTCCCATTACTGGCTGAACCCACACTTACTGCTGTCACATCCACACCCAGCTGCTCACAAACACAAACTTCCACACAAGTGAAATAAAAAAGGGGCTGCGGTCGGTCAAGGGTACTGTTCAAAGACAAGCGTGTCATCTATTTTAAGCCTCTGGATGGTTTATCCTTACTCTACTGGATGCTTCCTTTGAACTCTTTTAATTCAATCTTTTAAAATAACTAGAATTTTATTTCTGGATTTCAGCACGTGTTTGAGTGAGCAGTGAAGAAGGACCACCTGGGTGTCAGGGACTGTCCTGTAGCAATTCTTCCCAATCTGCCCACAGGCCACAGAAAGAGAACTGAGGGCTGGTCAGGCCTGAGGGGGAGGGTGGTGCCTGCGCAGACCACTGCCCCACGGCCTCGGCCACCCCACCTATGGGACGAGGGAGCGGTCAAAGTTGCCTTTGCGTCCCACATATCAAAGTAGAAGGCACAGATTTTGGTCTCTCTTGTTCATGGATGCACGAGAGCCTACAGCAGCCCTGGCCTGGAATGGCTTCTCTCCAAGTGTCTCTGCCGCCTGACCACCGTCAAGGCTGGAACAGCGCAAGAGACAGTTTGGCGTCATCATGAACAGAGCTGGGAAGGGCAGCACCGGGCGACGCCCACTGGTCTCACTCCAATGGTGGGATGAGAAGCCTGATGCTGAAAGAGGGAGCAGTAGATGATTTTGGAGAGCAGGCGGTCTAGGTAGATCTCCTTTAGTGGAGAAGGGCCTAAACCAAGGTTCGCAAGGTCCCCACGGCCAAGTCTGCACCATGTTTGGAACAGTGTCTCATGCTGGGTCCTTGCTAAAGGGGTAGTTGAGAGGCGTACTCTGAATTCCAAGCCACAGCCCAACAATTCCTACAGAGCACAGATCCACCCTTGCACCTGAAGAGGTAAGAGTCTGTGAGCAGGGAAAATATATTTTACTATAGTGACTAGTGCCTTAGGTAACGGCTCAAGACCAACTATCACCCACACAAGTAAATGCACATCTTAGCAATTTAATGCGACCAGCAGTGCGTGGCTGGGAAGGCCCAGTATCGAGTCCGGTATAGTTTGGGAGACAAGGAAATGGAGTTGCACGAACACTTCTATAGGATGGTGAGTTCGTACTAAGGAGTCCACCAAGTTACTACACGGTTAGCAGACATTCCCTCCAGCTGGCTTTTGGAGGACAGGGGATCACGCACAGGAGGGAGTGTGCCCACTTCTCCTAGCGAGGGTCCTGCACCCTGGCTCTCCCCTGCCCAAGCCAGAAGCCTAAATCTGATGGTCCAGACAATGGCTCAAAGGCACCCCTCACCAAGCTTTCCTTCTTTCTCCCCGTTTGTGGGTTCAGCACCATTTCCTAAAAGTCCTTAGATGCCTTCCAGGTACTCTGTACCCACTTGTCTCTGCCACAGGAAGGTGAGGTCGTGGGCACACGGGCCAGTATTCCTGTTTGTGCCTCTCGCTGATACAGCACAGCAGGCACACAGAGTTGGAGTAAAGCAGCATTTTTGCTCCAGCCTGATGCTTGGGAGCTGATGCAGTGGATGGGACCAGGACTTGGCAATCAGAACCCCCACGGTCCTAGCCCCGCTATTCCAAATGGTCAATGTAGAGATTTGGGAACAATTCTTTTCCTTTTCTTTTTTTGTAGTTTAGACAATATTTATTGTTACCTTTTTTTTGGGTTATTAAAGTGTACAAGATCACTGCAAAATACTTAGAAATACCAAATAAAGTAACAGCAAAAATCACCTGGATGCTCTCCTTCTACCCTGAGATAACTACTGTTAACATCTGGGGATATTCAAGTAGATTTTTAAATGGGGTCATGCACTTTTCAAGTCTGTGCTTTGCACTTAATAGATCATGAATATATTTTTTTGCTTTTTAAGCAATGAAACATACATGAGAGTGTACAGTGTAAGTGTTCAGTTTAAACAAAAAAGGGACACCAAGTATATTCCACCCAGCTTAGATACAGAACAGGGCCAGATCCTCAGAGGTCTTTGCCCCCTTGAAGGTCACACACCCATGGCTCCCCTCCCCCAAAGGGCACCACTGTCCTGAATTTCGTGTTCATCATTCCCTTGTCATTTTGTCACATACCCATATATTTCTAAACAATGTATGTCTTCCTTCTACCAGTTTTTAAACTTTACAAATGCAACATATGGTATCTATTTTCATGTGACTTCTTTTGCTCAATATTTTTTTGAAGTTTAGCAATTTTTAGTAAAATTTGAAGTTTAATGAAGAGATGTGGTTCATCTATTCAGATTGCAGTATGTTATACCATTCTGTTTCACATATTGCGTTTATCTCTTCTGCTGACGGATATTAATTGTTTTAACTCTTTTGCTGTTATAAACAATGTTGACATGAACTCACCTAGTGAAAGTAGTCAAGTTTCTTAAATATATATGCCTAGAAGTAGAACTACTCTGTCCTATGTGCATGCGTACACATTACAAGGTAGATGAACCTGTTTTTTTGAATGTTTGAACAAATTATACTTCCACCGATAAGGTATGAATGTCCAAACTGATTCACATCCTCACCAATGCTTGGTAATACTGGACTTAACGTGTTTGTCTGTGTAGTGGGTAATAAAATAGTATATACTTTTGGGGGTGGGGCTATTCTTTGCCCGTTTTCTTAAGTGTTCAGAATGTGAAGCCTAACACATTTACACAGGAAGTGCACAGAACATATAGAGTTCAATGATTTATCATCAAGCAAGCCCCCGTGTGACCACAGCCAGCCTCCCAGAATGCCTCTCAGGCTTATCTCCCACTAGTTCCTCCCGTCCAGGGCACCAAAAAGCTCACCACTTTCCTCACTTTTTGGTAATCACTTCCAAGCTTTCAACTTTATACTTTTATCACTTACAATATAGTTTAGTTTTGCCTGCTTTTCTAACCTGATATAAATGGAATCATACAACATTTTTAGTATCTGGTGTCTTTCATTCAAAACTTTGAGATTCATTCATGCTATTGCATGTAGGTGTACTTGGTTCTTGTTCACTGCTGTATAACAATACATTACAGGAGACAGAGGCTCAATGGAACTGTCCCTAAGAAGAAAATAAAGCTGATGAATACCTGATGTGTAGTATAACATTTAGAGGACATTTTTGGTTCTCTTGAGGAGATTGAGGGTAAATTAGAGACAAGGACATAGGACATTAAACAACAACAAAACAAAACAAAAACACAAAATTGTAATTTCAGGATAAAAGACAAAAATCATACATAATACATGGTTTTGTTGAATATGTGGTTCGTAAATATTTGCTAAAAATCTATACTTTTGTCTTTCCTTGTCTTAACAGGATCATCTGTAACATAAAAGTCAATTTGTGCTCTTATACTTTGGTTTTACTCTAAGAACTCTTTGCCCAGCCTTAGATTCTAAAGATTTTCTCCAGTGATTTTTTGATGAGGTTGACCTTTTTACCTATAGATGTCTAATTGTTCAAACACCACTTGTTGAAAAGGCTACCTTTTCTCCATTGTTTTTGACCTTTGTCAAATACCTGTTGGGCATATTTGCATGCATGTACTTCTGAGCTCTCTGCTCTGCCCCATTGATCTGCGTGCTATCTCTCTGCCAGTCACACGGTCTTGATTACTGTGTCTGTATGTCTTGAAATCAAATAGACTGATTTCTTTCCTTTCATTCTTTTTTAAGATTGTTTCTTTGCTTTTCCATATATATTTTAGAATAAGATAGTATATATATTCAAAAAAACAAAGAAAAATCCCTTGCTAGTTTTTTGATAGGAATTGCATTAAATCTATCAATTTGGTGAGAATTTAGTCTATTGAGTCCTCCAAATCATGGACACGGTATGTCTCTCCATTTATTTAGATTTCTTTGATTTGTGTCATCATTATGTAGCTTTCAGTGTGCAAGTCCTGGACATGTTTTATTATATTTACATATGTATATTTTTGAGTGAGTATAAACAATATTATATTTTTAATTTCAGTGTCCATATGTTCAGTGTTAATATAGAGAAATACAATTAAATTTTGTATCTTTATCTTATATCCTCCAACTTCGCTGAACTCATTTAATAGTCTAAGGTTTTCTCTTTAGATTCTTAGGATTTT